CATAATGCCGTTCACGCTTTCTGTCCCAGCAGGGACGAAGCCCGTTGCATCACGCCCGTATCGTATCAACCCGTTGATGCAAAAGAAAGTGGATGCCGAATTGGACCAGTATTGGCGGCAGGGCTCATTCAACATTCCACATCTCGGTGGGCTTCTCCTTTAGTTGCCATCCCCAAGAAGGACGGGTCTGTTCGCATCACCGTCAACTACAAACGTCTCAACGCGNCTGCTTTCGATCTACACAATCCGGAATGGACACCGGAGGCTATTGATCGTTTGGCCGACGCCCTTGTGGAATATTCTGACGTGTTCTCTACTTCGAAAACCGATTTTGGTTCCTGCAACATAATGCCGTTCACGCTTTCTGTCCCAGCAGGGACGAAGCCCGTTGCATCACGCCCGTATCGTATCAACCCGTTGATGCAAAAGAAAGTGGATGCCGAATTGGACCAGTATTGGCGGCAGGGCTCATTCAACATTCCACATCTCGGTGGGCTTCTCCTTTAGTTGCCATCCCCAAGAAGGACGGGTCTGTTCGCATCACCGTCAACTACAAACGTCTCAACGCGCTGGTGGATTTGGATGGACAACCTTTCCCTCGAGTGGACGGTATCTTGGATACTCTGTGCACCGGGAAAGTGTTCTCCATCTTCGACCTAAACTCGGCTTTCCACCAGATCGTTTGTGATGAAGACACTGTCCCGCTCACCGCCTTTTGCACTCCCACGCAGTTGTTCGAATGGCTTCGGATGCCGCAGGGCGCCAACGCAAGTCCGTCTTGGTTCGTCAAGGTCATCAACAGAGTGGTGCACGGTCTGGAGCGTGTGCTGGCTTATCTGGACGATGACATCTGTTTCGATGAGGAACCTCTGGGACACGTGCTAAACTTGATCGAGTTCTTCAAACGACTGCGACAGTACAACCTCAATCTGTCTCCAGGGAAGGGTCGCGTCGGCGCCACGCACGCCAACTTTCTCGGTCACACCATCTCTCCGGCAGGTGTTAGCCTTGATGGCGTCAAGGTTAGGGCGCTCAAGCACATGCCGCCGCCGCCGAATGTTACGCAGCTTCGGAGTCTTCTCGGTGGACTCAGCTACTACCGGAAATTCCTCAAGAATCTCGCCACCAAGGTGCG